AACCGGAACAAACAATCAAGGATGCTTCTCTCAACCGGAACGAACAATCAAGGATGCTTCTCTCAACCGGAACAAACAATCAAGGATGCTTCTCTCAACCGGAACGAACAATCAAGGATGCTTCCCTCAACCGGAACAAAACCAAAACAAAAATTCTAAACCCAAAAATTGGCATCAAGCCAATATTCGTATTACCGCCCTCACTTCTTATAACATATTAGAGAGGTTGATCTAAACCATTCAATATTTCACAACAAAGATGATATAAAGTAGCAAACAAAACAAAAGAATATATGATTATATGAGAGAACAGATGTTGCAGAAAAAGTATATTTTGTCACAGAATGGTACGACTAGAGAGTGCGTTGCAGAAGAGTAGAGAAGAAATGGAAGAGTGAAATATTGTTGTATATTGTAGCGAAGAGGTAAGCAATCACCGTTTCTTCATTCTTTTTCTCTACCGTGTCCATATCCTTTACTCCTATCGTAGTGTTACGTCTGCCTGTCTGTCTGTCTATCTGTATATGTCAGTGTGTGTGTTCCAGTCGATACAGTATGGTACCATATCTTTCCATCCCGTATTGGTGTATATCTGTAGATGTTATGTATGTCCACGTAGAATATACGTAAATGCATGGGGGATATGTCCGTGAATTATCTCACGTAAAAGCATATCCATATGATTATTTATGCGTATGTGTGATTGCATATGTTAGATATATACGTGTATGTATGCATGTGTGTATGTGGGTATGCATATATCAGATGTATGCATGCTTGTATATGTAGACATGTAGATGTATGTTCATGTATGTTGGCATACAAATGTACGTCCATGTATGTAGGCATGTGGATGCATATCTATATATGTCTTTGTGTATGTGTATAACTGCTAAATGATATCTTCAAAGATTACCAGGTTGTACCTTTTTTGTGTTACCGAAAAAAGAAAAACTTTGGTGACATTAGTGATGAGTTGTGGATAATTGCGGGAATTTGATCTCTTCTTCAAAATATGCGAACTAATATATTGACCGTTGTGTAGCCATCCTTTCTATAACCATTCTTTTTCTTTTTTTTTTTTACGGCTATCCTCATTTTGTCATACCTAAATTTATTAATTCCATTTTAAAGGAAATTCTTTTTTTTGTTGACCTTTTAATCCGTGAGAATTAAAAGTACTTTGTTAGGAATTATTCGTGCAGTGAATTTTCATTTATAAATTAAGTATGTATAACATTTAAAATATAATGATATTCATGTAAAAAGTTTACAAAAAAGAAAAAATTCAAATTTATTTCAAATTGATCTTTTTAATGAATTAACAAATCATTTAACGCTTCATTTCATTCCATAGATATGAGGAAATAATAGAACTTTTTGAAAAAATCACTGACATCATCACATTTGTCTATCCCCAAATGACATCATCATTCATGATTTAATTCTTTTGATTGCATACTCTATCGATATCGACCACTTTCTTTGATGACATCTTACCATTGATAGTTTGTTTAATAAGCATATGATGCTAAAGCATAAATCATACAGTTGTCAAATGCATACTCTATACTAAATATCGCGGTATTTCGGGAGTATTTTTGTAACGGTATATTTCACTTTTACAATGCTAAAAAAAAACCCTTATTTGTAACATACTGTAATGTAATGGAATGCGGTTTAGAATTCCATGAAATTCCTCATCAAATATTGCTGAATACCTTCACCGATACCTGTAATAACATCAAACAATGCCGAATACCTTTACTGATACCTGTAATAATAATTAATAATAATTAGTTTCCATTGAAATAATTTAATTCTTATTGTAACCGGTAGTTTATTTTTTCCTTTACAATTTTTTTTTTGCAAGTTATTGTAAATCGATTTCATTTATCAACTTAATGTTTACACTTGTTAAATATCTTTGCATGCAGATATACTTTTATGATTTTTTTTCTTTTTTTTATTGTGTTATAAAATTTTCGTTTTTTTTTTGTGAGCTAAAATTTGTTTTTTTTTTTCACGATTTTTAATTTGTTACTTCCTTTTCCCATTTCTAATTTCTTTGATAATTTCATTTTTTTTTCATCATTTGATATTCTTTGGAAGATCGATTTAACTAACCAAATCCTTTTATCATTACCGATGAAGATAGATTTACATTTCAAATTGTTAAATTCACAAGTTTTTTCTTTTTTAATGCTCACATTGGTGGTCTAACTGTTTTCTTTTGTTTTATTTATTGACTTTTCCTTTTGTTGCAATGAAGAACAAGACGAACAATCTCGAATAGTGTTTTTTCATTAAACACTACTAGTTTAGCAGATTTAATTAATTTGTTAAAAGTTTATGTTTTTACCGCTTTTGATTTTTCCTAATTTATGTTTCAGTGTTAAACCAGATAAACCGTTCACTTGTTGTAGTACGCAATTATCCTAAATGAAGGCACTCATTTTGTGGACTTTATTTTATGTTACAAAATAAATATTGTTTAAATTTCGAAATTATCGAAAAAGAAATTATCATTTGCATTTTCCCGCTTCCGATTCCTCTTCTTTATTCCATTTTTTCTTATATTACAGTAATTTTGAATTAGCATCAACGAATAAAACTGATTATGTGATGTATCTGAAGTTGCAATAGATAAAAAGATAAGCTGAATTGAGTGGAATATCAGGATTAACATTTGTCTCTCGATCGAATATCTTTATAAGTATTGTGACTATCTGGATTTTAAGAAATCAGTTTTTTCTTATGGACTTAATCTTATTACTGCTCAAAGTCCAGCTAACTATGATGGTTTAGCAAAAGACATTCATAACTACTTTTTTATCTCAGAAATATTAGATGTAACTGATAGATATTAGATAGTATAGCTCATCCTTTTTATCTTTTTAGGTCTAAGATGATGTTTGTAACATGAGACAATTACCGTATTGTAGTTATTATATGAAAAAATTATCTCTTTTTTTAAAATCCAACTATAAAGGTTCAGGCTTTTAATTTGATTTTTTAATTAAAAATTTTGATAACAATAATAAAGTAAACTTTCGAAAAATATATGAAATTCTTCTTTTTTTTTTTTATTTTCTATATCCTATAGCAAA